CGATGAGTGGTAAAAATTTACTGAGAAACAACCGTATGGGGATAACTCTTTCGAGGCAACGCAGACGTCACATGGAAGCTCAGACTGACTGAGAGAAGACGCTTAGATTGGGGCGGGCAATTGGAAAATTGTGCTTAATCGTCGGACTCGGCAACCTTATCACAAGCTAAGAAGAACAGAGAGTAGCAATGTAATGCAAGGTCAGGATGAAAGAGGGATGTAGGAAGGAAGGGAGGTGGTTCTGGAGTCAAGTTATCCTGGCAACGCGAAATATTTTACGTATTCCTTGTCTCATTGGCAAAGCATCTAAATAAGAGACTCTAAGACGTGTTTGCAGTCTCTCTATTCACCTTAACTTCCCTCACCTAGACATCTTTCTCTTTTTTCCTCGACGTTTACATAAACCAAATTTCTTAATTTGGTGAAGAAGGCTTTAAGAGATCGTATGATTTCGTTGAGTTTTGAGAAAACGCAACATGAATCTAGTCGTAGTTTGCGATAAATCCTGATCAGTTTTCGTGGTGTGGATTTGAGACGCACTCTTTTCTGACTCCTAGTGGAGATGTTTGTACTTCTCTAGGCTTCACAAATTAAATTATTTACATGGGTAAGGACATTCAAGATTGGCACTTTCAAAGGATCGCAATCTCGCTACCAGTTCGTCAACAAGTACCTGAAAAGCAATTTGGGGATATCTTTCTAAAAGGAGATGTAAATCGTCTAAGACGACAGGAGTAAATAAAAGCCACTATTTGATTATGTCATGCGAGGGATCAGTTTTGAGCCAAAGGTTTAGAGCAAATGGGATCAGGAGCAAGGTATCTGATCACGCTCAAAAAACAGCCCGACAATCATCAAAGTCTACAAATGGCAGCAATGTTTGACACAAAACTCTAATTCGGTAGCCTACTCCCATAACTCCTTGTTCTGTAGATTAAAACAAGAAATAATCAACCATCTTCACTAGGTCTTCATTAGTTTAGAAGTAGTACACCGCAATTTCAATTAATTGCATAAACGGCGAGAACGATAACTTCCATGTAAAATGTCAACAAATTTACTACAGCTCATGTGAATGCAGGTCTGATTGACAATCAAGAGTCGTGATTTGGCAGTATGATGCAGTCACCTATGTGGATATATTGCATCTATGCAAAAAATGATTAGTAGCGATATCCGACTTGGTGATTGGGACATGTATTATCTGCCTCGTGTTATGCAGTACACGATCCCGGTGGTGACCATGTCACATGACATCCACTATGACATCTGTCGAGACAAGTGATGAGGAATGGGCGTCACCCTAACCGGTGCTCCATAGCAGTGATGCTTATGATTGTAGAGTTGGTGGACGTTAGACCTGGTCAACGAAAAGAGGTGATGTAACCACAAGGCCTCGAATGCCTTTGGACGATTGCCTACCAGAACGCAAGGCGCTTAGATTCAATCCCTTGTCCTTTCCTTTCTATAACTTGGTACATTTTGCCTAGCCAAAATCCATTTTGAGTACCTGTAGGCGATCATTAACTATTTAGAAGAAAAAGCATCTCCTTGATATGTGCGTATTTCTCACAGACAATTCATACATATAAACACAAGAAAGGAACACAAGCATCTTATTTCAGCAGAAATTGCAACTGCTT